CCGACAAGCCTTCATTTCTGTACCTCTACTATGTTCAGTGCTTTTTGATTTCTTTCTGAGACATGTTCTAGATGCCTGCCTCTCACTACCAGGACAATATCGTCCGCGTAGCTGAGGCAGTAGAATCTCTCCTTGGCCTTGGCCATTTTTGCCAAGAGATCGTCGACCAGGAGCGCACGATACAATGGCGATAAAACGCCTCCCTGTGGGCAGCCACTTACCACTATTGCTGTGTACTTACCCAGAGTAGATGTAATTACCCTGTTTCTTAGGCTGGTTTCTATCCAGTTGCATACGGTATACGAGATATTCCTACGCTTGAGTGCGTTCATTAGTGACGTTGTTGGAACGTTGTTAAACGCTCCCTCTATATCTAGAGAGGCGAAAAAGCCACCTCTTTGTCAACAATTGACTTTATCAGGAGTCTGTTTAGGTCATCCAGTGCGGAGTCCGTAGACTTTTCACAATTTTTTTCCAGCGGTTTGTGCAGGAACGAGGAAAGACATACCTATATGGTTTATTTTTTCCCAAGATAGATTTTGACATTGTCAATTTTGAAACATAAACAATGCCGCTTGGCCCTGACTGGTCACAAAATAAAGTGTGCCTGCAGGTTCACATCAGTTTTACAATGCATGTCGTGCAAATGGCATCTTGGGACCAATAGGCGGCATTGTTTATGTTTCAAAGTTGACAATGTCGAAATATATCTTGGGAAAAAATAAACTGTAGGTCTGTATGACTTGGGCGTTTTTTCTAGGCACCTGCCAATCTTTGGCAGATAGGCTTCTGGTACGTAGCCCCAAGCAATGCGTGCTCTGAAAATTTTGCAAAGGTGTGGCATTAGTATGTCCTGGCCCTTCTGGAGCAGTGCTGGGTAGGTTCCATCCGGGCCTGGCGATCTAAAGGGGTGGAACTCGCCTATGGCCTATTTAATTCTCTCATATGTTAATCAGTTCCTTTGCCCTGTCCCAGTCCACCTTAAATGGTCTCCAGGGCTGCGTTCAGGAATGGCTACAGCCAAGCCAAAATTGGCATTTTGCGAATTCGGCTCCAACCTACGTGGTTCGGCATTACCGGTGGAGGGGGAAAAGTAGGTTTTGGCATTAGCATTGCTGTCCTTGAACGCACCCCTGGACTTTCGGACTTGGCCAGGTGAAAGGTTATTTATAATTTTGAAAAGGAAATAATTAAGGCATACTACTCAACCAAATCTTGACAAAGGTAAATCAATAAAACAATCAAGCAATTTTCAAATTAAATTACTGTATATTTCCACGGTGATATAAAATTCAATTCATAGTTCGGAGAATAAAGAAGGTTAAGCAGTAAATAATAAATCGATGGATAGATGTTTAACCCTCAATTGAATCCACCAAACTAAAAAAATTATATCACAATATACACTAGTATAGTTGTCACATAATTTAACTTAACCAATCGCTGGCCATATCATGAATTGAAAATATGAGAGATTCAAGTTTCCAGAAAATTGATTTAAAAAAAATTAATGATTGAAAATTGTCTGTATGAAATCAAAACGTTGAAGGTATAAAGGAGGTAAGACAGAGATCCTCAAGGAACTTAAGTACAGGGTGGGCTAGAAAGATGTACGATTTTAAAAACATTATTGCGTTGAAACGGTATGAGAGAGCGGTGCAAGGGAGGTGGGAATGAGTTTCGGGAAATTTTAGTTTAGTTAGTCGCCATGGAGTGTTTCATGGGTGCGCAGCGAGCGCTCTGTGTTGGAAATTATTACAAAAATAACGATTCGTGCATTATGGTTCGTCGTTTATATCGTGTTGAGTTCGGATTGCATGACCTAAATCAGTGACCCAGTGAAAGTGTGATTAGGTCGTGGGTCAGAAAATTCAAGTCTTCTGGTTCGACTCTCAACCAGAAACCTACAAAAAGCCCAAATGTCATTAAGAACAGAGGAAGCAATCAACGAAGTCAGAACTTCCTTACAACGTGATCCAGGTCTATCAACTCGCAAGCGGTCAGCTGAGATTGCTGTATCAAGAACATCTTTGCGTCGCATTTTGACTAGAGATCTAAAATTGCATCCATATAAGATCCAATTAGTGCAGTATCTGAAGCCAAATGATCTCAATTTACGCCGTGTTTTTGTCGAAACAATGCTGGAGCACTTTCGGAATTTCAACAATATTGTTTTCTGACGAAGCCCATTTTCACTTAAATGGGCACGTCAATAAACAGAATGTCGTTACTGTGCCGCAGCCAATCTACTTTCAAAACATCAAAAGCCATTTCAGCACACGGCATCATCGGGCCTTATTTCTTTGAGGATCGTCGAGGGCAATCTGTGACTGTAAATTTCGATCAGTACACAGCTATGTTACGATACATTTTCTTTCCACAATTGCAACAATTTGGAGCCTATAATCGTGCGACATGGTTTCAACAAGACGGCGCGACATGCCATACATCTAATGATTCATTGGCAGTCGTAAACCAGATGTTTGCAGGAAAACTCATATCGTGTCGATGTGATATTGCATGGCCGCCCAGAAGTGCAGACTTAACACCACCAGACTTCTTTCTGTGGGGATACCTGAAGGGTCGAGTTTACTGCAATAAACCAACCACGATTGCCCAGTTGAATACCAATATCCGAGAAGAAGTGGCCGCTATTTCACGCCCAATGTGGCAGCGAGTTTTTACTAATTTGAGGTCCAGACTCGAGGAGTGTTTGCAGCGCGATGGTGCACATCTAGATGACATTATTTTTAAACAATAAATTTCCCATATATTTATATTGATTTAAATAAAAATGTGTTTTTTTTATAATTTTTTGTTTTTTTTAAAAAAAAAAAATTCAAATCCTCCAATCTTTAAGGCCCATCCTGATATATGTTATAGAACTCAGGTGGAAAATTGATCAATTTTTGACGATGTAGGTACTTACTCAATAATTTTAAATTTAGAACATATTGTCCCACCTTGACTTCAGTTCAGATCATTGATTATAATTAAGAATTTCATACATCTGTCAAAACTGACATTCCAACAATGAACTGACATGTTTTGATTGTTGATTTAAACCAATCAGATTGAAATTACGCGATAATTGCATAGTAACTGGTGCGAGAACTGGTGTTTTGACATTTTTTGAAAAAAAAAAATTAAATTTTTGATTGATAAAATTCTCTCATAAAATACAACTCGTACAATGGAAATTCATCTATAATTTTCGACAATACATGTATATATTCAACTTACAAGCACCCTGAAACCATAAGGACCACCATACAATCACACCTCAACGACATATAAGACTGGGATAAAAGGTGGAAAGGGAAAAAGAAGAGCATTACCAAATGTGATATCAGTGACATTGAATAACCACCGAACTGACTGGAAAAACAGTATAAAATATTTAGGTATTCACATAGTCCAGACTCAACTTCAACCACCATATTACTACAAAAATAGTACAATTTAAAGTAGCAGCTTCCATGCTCAACCGACTAATACCTTTATCAAAAAGTAAACTTTATTTAAAAAACAAAACACTACTTTAGAAACAAATAATGAGACCGAAACTACTGTACGGCTCATCGACTTTTCACAACACAGCAAAGACCAGCAAAAAGAAACTACAAAATAAACTACTACAAACATAATAACGGATGCTCCATGGTTTGCAAGCAGCGCAGACATCCACAAACACCTCGGGATATAGACTATACAAGAATTTAAAAGAAATTCAAAGACAGAATAGAGAACTCACAAAACAAAATACCTAAAAACTTATTCGGAGTAGATAGAATCAGAAACCAAAAATATAAAAACATATTTGATGATTTGAAAAATCAGTTAGGTATGATAAGATGGAAAGGGAAAAAATGGCCAAAGACTTTTATTAGGTATTATGTAGACAAAGGAAAAAAAAATAAAAAAAATATTAATAAAAAGTAGACCCAAAATTTTGGGAGTAGCTCAAGTTAATTTATGTCCTATTAATTACTAATATTAGGTAATTACTAATATAAGTATTTATTTATTTGTATTTATCAATTTATTTTATTTATTTATTTATTTTGTTCTATATTCATTAATATTTTATTCCTATATCTGACTCTTCCAATTAATATTTTCATATTTAGTATATGTTCGTATGTGAAGCCCTTTCTAAATCAGGCTTGTTTTCTTGCTGGATAGTGATAGTTGTTCAATTTGGAATATAATTTATATCCTCAATTTAGGTTAGTCTTAAGTTAGTTTAAGTTGCGAGCAAATTTATTACATAATCAAACCCCAATTACTGAAATAGCTAAGCTTAGGGGAAAACTCGACTAGAAAACGAAAATAGAGGAAATGTTAAATCCTGCGAAATCATCTAATCGCACAACGCATGTGTGAAAAAAGTATGTGTGAAAAAAATATGCGAAAGGGAGAGGAAGCCAAATGTAGAATAGAGGGCCATTTCGAAGATATCAGGGTTAAGTGAAAAAGCCATTAAGATAAGCTTAGAGTTTATATCGGCGGAAATTTTTTATTGAATACATATATTTTTCATGATAGATTTATGCTGGGTGATAAATAAAGAACTTAAAAGTATTTGAATTCATATTTTTGTTTATCGCTGTGTATACGTACATGAAGCTGATGGAAAGGAACTTCCGAGAGTATTAAAATATATACATAAAAAAAATATTGAATTTTTCTTATATCTTCTAAATTGTAATATTTGCCATGTTTCACTGCTATGAAAGCAGTGGCGAAGTTAAAAAGGCTCTTTCCTAAATACTTGCATTTAAATAAATTTTAAAACAAGTTAGGTATTTGAAGGCACTACATCGTTCAAGTTTGTTGAAGTTTAAACCGTCTTTATAGGTACAGCTCAAGTTTACAAACTACCCTTTCAAAATTTCGGTCCGGAACTAATTCATCCGCCAAAATGATATATGACGTTCCCGACCCAATTTCCCCTTGCAGTGATTAGAATTTACACAAGTAATTAACCGTTTTTTCAGGTGACGAACGTAGACAATCAAACTTGCGTTCGAACGGCACACCCTCTAATCCCCAGATTGAATAATACGAGGGGTATAACTCACAAATAATTAGTAATTTGTGTGTTGTTTTTTTTTTTTTAGACCAGTAGAATTTAGTGTGTGTTTTATGAATTTCATGGCATGAATTATTGGGGTTTGGGCTTGAAATATTCCATATAAAAAAAAACTCTCGTCCGGTTTTTTTGCATGATTGTAATTTTCGCAATACGGCATTGCTATTGTGAAAACGAAGCATGTCTCTGTACTACTCTTTCTCTCTATTATCTGTTTGTTGAATCGCTATTAATAATTATGCATGTGTGCATTAAACTCGTACTTTATGCATGCGACTTTAAATCAGTCTAGAAATTGAAAAAAAAAAAAGATTTTTTAATAAAAAAACTACCATGATGGAGTGAGCTGGAAAATTAAGTTCTGATAGAATTCCGGACATCTTCTTTAACTCCTTCTAACAGAATTTGCACCCAATTTTAAATTCCAGTCACGGCGTATCGCTGTAACGCTTAAATAGCATGATAAAGAGTTTTTTCCGCACTCGGAATTTATTTTCACTTTCCCAGCCGAGTAACGAGTAAAATAACTTTCCGAGGGAGACCCTAATTTGACTAAGCCTTTTTCGCCTAATATAAGAATAATTGTTGTACAGCCCCTTAGAGGACTCGTTTCGTATTATAGAGGAAGGGTTCCCAAGTTTTTTAATATGCAACTTTTCGTTCCGAACCAAATCGTTGGTTGTTAGAAAATATTGAAGAATATAAATATCTTGTAAGTGTGTACTTTCTGCTAGTCGTTTGATTGTATAATGTGTTTTGAGTTTTATGGCATGAAAAATTATTCTTACCTGATAGTAAAAGTGCAACACCGGTTCTAGCGCAAAATCGGTCATTTTTACATGTAAATCTCCATAAGAAAATCTAAGGTCCATTCTGCACTTTTTTGTACCAGGTGCTATGCGTGTTCGATGAGCCGCTCGGAGCCAGGTACGGTCAATGACCCTGAAGCAGCGGCGGCTGATCACTTAGTGCGACCGATGAAAGACACAAGTGCTTATTCCTGGAAATTTCACCCCCACTCCAAAATGGTACGAAAAAGTGCAGAATGGACCTTAGATTTTCTTATGGAGATATACATGTAAAAATGACCGATTTTGTGCTAGAACCGTTGTTGCACTTTTACTAATGACCTAACCAAATTATTTTTTTAGGACTGATAGGGGTAACGGCGTCCCTCAATCCAAACGGCGTTGGTCTCGAATCAAATCCAGCGTTTTTAATGGCGAGACCCCAGTGTGACTCGAAAAACAGCTCCACTGCGACCCCTCAAGACACTAAAGTTGTCCTATCGGAATCCGGACAATGTCAGACGACAATGGTTAAAACGTAAAACATGACGAAGATATTTTAGGTTTTTTAATTTTTTGAATCAGAAAAATTTGCTTAAAAGAAAAGTATGTTGTGGGCCAAGAGGCGACACTATAATTGACTCAAAATCTAAGGCTTGTCCAAATACGCATACACTCAAGTTCAGAAGTCTTTCACCTCTGTGATGAAACTGGTATTTTAAGTTTCACGAAATATTTTTGCTTTGCTTTGATAAGATACAATTTATAGCAATATTTCCTTAATTTAATAGTTTAAGTCTTAATTCACTCAACACCGAATTATTCAGCTTTTTTTTAAGTTTTTTGGCCTTGAGTATTCAAAATTTATTCTTACTCTTTTAATTCTTTTTCTGTGCTCGTCGAGAATATAATCTATAACAATTCCAGTTGATGGTAATTACTCTAGAAGTTAAACAGTTTAGTTTGCAAACAGTTCCAAGTTGTTAAACTTGTTTTATTGATGCATAATTCAAATAACTTCAAGCTAATTTTCTTAATCACACATAAATAGTTTCTAATCTGTGTATTTATTTACTGAGATAATTTGATAACTAGAACGATGAACTATACTTCCTTACTTTAAATTTCGTTACTTTATTTTCCCATCTTATCCAGGCTGCAACAGTCGGTGACTCAATATAGAACAGGGCAGTTTTTAATCGAAAGGTCCATCTCGATCAGATTTCTGACACTCATCAAACTCTCTACGGCACTATATTTCAGAGTTATTATTGCCAAAGTTTTAAGAGATTCTACAGCTGTTCAAATTTGGTGCTGATTTACAACCTATCGCCTCATTTCATGGCTGTAGCATCGTTGCAGTCGCACATGTATGGATCGTATACTATACGGGTGACTTCTAGCTCGATGCTAAGATGGTAATTTCTCAGGTTAAATGACGTCGGCTGACTTTGGTGTTGGATTAATAGAGTTAGTTTTTGGCTTTATTTGTGAATTATGTAATTTAAATTTCTTTGATAAGCTTTTGAATATGTAAGAAAGCGGAGAGTCACTTCAAGACAATCGTTATAGAAAATGCAAGGTGGGTTTATGTGGGCAGGATGGGATGGGATGGGATAATCATGGGAGGCTCTGTATAATCGTGCGCCTTCTATTTACCAATGAAAAAAGTAAATTGAGAATCATCAAATAATAAAAAGATATTTTGAACTGGATTCCTTTTTCATGGGAGACTCGGCAAAACAACGAAAAGAGAATATATTTATTATTTTTCTTCAGTTGCTCATCATTCACCCTACCCTGTTTCAGCACCTAACCTATCGTCTTTTTTGTTTTTCTTCTTATTTCTTTCTTTCTCACTTGTGGAACTTATTCGTTAAATCTACCAATGATGTTTATCATCTACTACTGATCCTCCTTTAATGCCTTTTTTCGGAGAGTTTCAGAATTCCTCTCTGCGTACTGAGTGATCTTCAAAGATGTACCTTCTTCAAAGAACTGTTAACAGGGTACAGATTCTGTTATTCTAGGTAATCGAACCTAAGCTCTCTCTTATTTTTGGATCCGTATCCTAAGTTCTTCTTCTCCTTCCTAGCCGCTCTCTATCCTGTGAATATAAGCCTCTCTCAGATGCGCCTATTCTGTGCGACCTGATGCCAGTTTAGTCCTGCTGTTCGCTTGATGTCGTCGTACCAGCGTTGTTGAGGTCTGCCGACGCTGCTTCGTTCCTCCCAGGATCTCCATCTTGTTACTTTTCCGTTCCAGTTGTGGCCTGTGCTTCTCGCTACGTGGCTGGCCCAGTTCCATTTGAGGGTCAATACTCTATGTGTAAAGTCTTCGACCTTTGTTGTGTTTTTTTTTCCACTCATTGTTCTCTTGTGTATAATACCTATCATTGGACCGGAATATGTGACGTATTTTACCATGCGCCGCCCATCCCAGTCGTATTCTCCTATTGATGTCAAGTTTCAAGCTCTTGATTGACTTTGCCAAGTGTTATTTCCTGTCCTAGATACTGGTAGAAGTTTACTTTTTTCAGCTGTTGGTTTTCTATGCTTATTATACCCCTAGCTCATTTATCATAAACTGTGTTTTTGAAGCCTGCTGGAAAAACCGATATGATAAATTTTACAAGATTTGTTCAACAAATACCCATATGGTATCTTTTTAAAAAAAGTTATTCTGTCTAAAAATGAAAAATGAATATTTCTTGTTCCCTAGACTTTTTTGATGAGTGTATAAATTGTAAACACTTTCTTCCCGTAGTTAATCAATAATCTTCCTGATGAAACATTTGACTAGAAAAAAACACAACGCCAGAACAACAATCACACATCCTAGATTAACAATAATAATAATCGGCAAGTTTATGGGGTTGACGTGTGTCTCTTCTGGGGCGTTACGTTTGAGTGTCACTTGCTTCTAAAGGGATCGTCCTCGTTCTGAGTATGATCCTCGTGCTTTTTTATTGACTGTCGATCGATTAACTCCGGCGGGTCTTCCTCTTTTGAGGATCGCAATCGCAGGTATCGTCTCCGGTCCTCGATAAGGCTGTAAATTACTCATGTAGTACTTTCCTGATGATACACTGGTTTTGGTCTCAGCTAACTCGTAACTGGTGGGCGATACCTTTCTTAAAACACGTTCACTGCCATGAGAATCATAGTTAGTGCCTCAGAAAATATAAACTTTAGGGACTGCGACTCGTCGTATGTGCCTCACTAACTCACTACGTATCGTGCTATATGGGCCTGTGTTACTGCTGCAGTGTCACAGGCCGCCTGTATTTATATGAAACGATATTTTGTGTGGCCTGACGGGCCCGAAAAAATTTTTGCCTCACGAAAAAAAATTCTTGTTTGAGTTTTGCAAAGAAATATTAGAAGTAAGCGATCATAATCCATAATATAAGAGTGGCCTGGAGGGCTTGGTTTTGATCATCTCCTGGTGGCGGTGTACGTGTTAATATTTTGTAGGGCCCGTCTCGTTTGGGATCAAACTTCTTAGTCAAATTCTTGGCTGTACTGCTATGTGCATGACGATTAACGAGTACTTTGTCTCCAACTTTAAACTCAGGAACTATCGGCTAAACTCAGGCGTAATCTGGGTTATAAAATTATCTGAAGTGATTTGTCGCATATCATTTTGTACTTCATCGAGTGTACGTAGTTCCCTTCCAAATGTCAAGTACGCTGACGTATATCCAACATTTTCGTTCTTGACTGTGTTCATTGAAAATCTAATTGTTGAAAGATACAAAGGCCAAGTCTTGTGCTTATCTTTCACAAAAATTGCCAATCGTGGCTTCAGATCTCGATTTTTCCGTTCTAACATGTTACATTCCGGGACGATAAAATGGCGTCAGTGATTGCTGAATTCCTATAATATGACAAACTTGTTGCATAACAGACTGGATAACAGATGAAACAAATTGAACACCATTATCATGGTATGGTATTCCATATCCAAGAAAAACTTCTAACCAGTTATGGTGCACAATCTTCTGAGGTATCGGTCTCAAGTGCAAACAACTCGATCCATTTTGTTAAGGCATCTTCTGCAATCAGTATTCATCTTCATTCAGGCTTAGGTCCAAAAAAGTCAACAGCTACAATCTCAAACCCTTGAGCGTATTCTGGAGTTTGCAACAACTCAGCTGGTTTCTGATTCGTTGCCTTTTACCCTTGACAGTTAGGGCACTTTTTAACATAGTCAGCTATGTATCGTCTCACTGAGCAATGGTATTATCTTTGTTGTTCTCAAAACAGTTTATAATTTTGACAAGTTCGGGATCCTTCATCTGTTCCGTACGTAACTCATGAACAGTTCGGGCTGGCACATCTACTGTAATTTCACAGATATCACAGGATAGTAAATCTTCATGGTTACCCGGGATAGAAGATCCGCTACTACATTTTTCTTCCCCAAAATGTATTCAACCTTTCGATCATAACTCTGTAGTTTCAAAGCCCATCGAGCAAGACGTCCTGTCGCTTGAGTCTTGAGTGTTAATAGCCATTTTAATAGTTAATTGATCAGTGGAAAGTGGAACATATCCTCTAAATTTCTCTAAAGCCCATACACCGGCTAAAGCTTCTCGTTCAGTAGTAGTATAATTTCGCTCAGCTGGCAGTAACAACTTTGACGCATATTCTACAACATGTTCTTCTGGTTTTTCTCCTTGAAGCAATATAGCCCCAATTGCATAAGAACTAGTATCCGTTCTAATCATAAATGACTTAGTTTCGTCCATCTGTTGCAATATTGGTGCGCTAAGTAGGTGTCGCTTTAATAGACTGTGAGATAGGGACTGTTTAGTGAAGTCATTTTTTTTTGTCTGGCATTTTGAGGGCCGAATGTGGCTGGTTAGCTGATGAGAATAGGAGTGATTTTAATGCCTGCCACCCGTTCGAAAATTTGGAGAAGAAAAAAATTGATTTACAAGAATTTTTTTTCATTGATCTCAAATTTCCTGGCTTTTAAATAAAAGATTGACATTCAACAATAATTCACCCATAAAAAATACCAGATGCTTTCCAATAGCTGAAAAAGTGGGGATGAGTGTCAACTTCCAAGAGAAAAAATAGTAGTTTATCTAATCAGTGCGAAAGCAGTTATACGAACGACGCGAAGCGGAGTTCGGATAAGCTTTAAGTGCGGGAAAACTACTTTGCGCACGTGTTAGGAACAATATTTTTTCTACGAGTGAAATAACTATACTTCTTTTTTAAATATTTAATTTTTATAGGCATCAAAAACAACAACTTGTAACTAACCAGGTATATCTAAATCGGCCAAAACATTTTTTCGGCCCCCCTAAAAAAAGGCCCCCGCGGGGCTGGGCCTCCCAAAAAGGGGGCTCCCGCGGGGCTCCGCCCCCCAAATAGGAGACTCTCGCAGGGCTTTGACCTCCAAATAGGGGGCCCCCGGATTTTATTATGGGTACCAGAAAAAAAAGTGTGGGGGAAAAAAAAAATTCCGCATAGTGTGCGCCAAGTAGTTACTTTGCGCACACTTTTGGGAGAGGGTTTCTTTGCGTACGCAAAAATGTGCGCAAAGTAGTTACTTTGCGCATACTTGTAGAAAAAAGTACTTTCCGCGTTTACTTTTTGTCTGGCAATCGAGAGACGGTAATCACAGTTCGAAATCGAGTTTTCCGGCGAAAGATTCTGTGGATATTTCGAACAGGTGGCAGGCATTAAAACCACAAAACTGATGAGAATATATCAGTTAACTTGCCACATTCAGCCCTCAAAATGCCAGATAGAAAAAAATGACTCCACTGAACAGGCCCTATCTCAGGGTCTATAAGGTGTCAGATGCTTACGCTGTTGGTCACCCCAGTGAAAAATAATATTCTTTTTGATTAACTGACTTGATGGGCGTGCGATTTCAAAGAAGTTCTTAATGAACCTGCGGTACCATGAGCAGGCTTGGAGAAACGATTGTGCGACTTTGAAGTACTGGGGGGGGGGGCAGGCAGGTTGGCAATAGCAGCAGTTTTCTGAGGATTAATTGATATACCATGGTGTGTTACTAAAGGTCCCAGATATCGAACACTCGGACGCATAAACACACATTTTGCCCGATTTGCGCTCAACTTGAACTGTCTAAGCCAGTTGAAAACTTTCTGAAGATCACTAAGGTGCGTCTCAAAGTCAGAGGACAAGACGATCATATCATCCAGATGAGCCACGTGAGTCCACGGCGGAAAACATGCATTAACCGCTGGAAAGTCGCTGGAGCGTTTTTCAATCCGAATGGCATGCGTAAATAGCGGAATGTTCCGAATGGTGTGGTGAAAGCAGTCTTATCGCGGTCATAGTCGCGGACACTAATCTGGTGATAACCAGGTGGTAAGTGGTATTCTTGAAAGCGGTATGTTTTGCAGCGTGTAGAAGATCATCCATTCGCGGTAGAGAGTATGAATCAGTAAAGCTGACGGCGTTCAGTTTTTGATAGTTGACACATATCTCACTTGCCCATCTTTCTTAGGTAATAAGATAACGGGAAATGCCCATGGACTCTCTGTATCTTCTATTGTCTAATTAGGTGCGTAAATGCTCCTTCCGAGAAGGTGACATTCTGTACGGAGGCACTGAAATAGGTTGTACGTCATCGGTCAGGTTGATGCAATGCTCGGCATACGGTGTGGCATCTTTCCCTAGACCAAAAATATCCTCGTTTTGATCCAAAAGGGCTTGTAAACTTTCACGCTGTTCAGAAACTAGCATGTGTCTTTCTTCATTACCCAATGGTTCAAGGCTTGATACTGGTACATGATTGGTGGACAGCAGGTCTTCAAAACACAACTGATGCACCGCGTTTGCCGGGTCATTTGCATCACCTATTTCATCGTTAAAATACCAAGTAGTACAAGGAATATTCAAATTTATTTTGGCCTCTGTTATAAAATCCACTCCTAGCAGGGTTTGATTTACCGCATCTGGCAAAATAATAAAAGTTGTGGGTACACAATGTCCATTTAAATAAACATCGACATTGATCAACTTTACATCTCTGTCAATAACAGTTCCATCTGCTAGTTTATAAGTTAAATGTTTAGTTTCAAGCTTCTGTCCAAAGTCTAACAAGATCCTATGCAATGTGTGACCAGCCATACTTTGTTTGTTCACAATTCGTGTTCCTATGTGACCCAAAATTCTTATTTTTATTGAAGGACGTGTACGTGGAGGAAGGTTTTAATCGGTTGGTAGTCTTTACAAGATAATCGTTCGGTTTAATGTCTGCACTAGAAAAATCAATGGACGCGGTGGTTGATGAATTTCTACACTTTGGACAATTAAAACGAACAAAACCAGGATTGCCACACCCATAGCATGCCACACCCGAAGAAGTCTGAGCACTGACGCAAATAGGCTGTGTAGTTACCATAACCGAACCCGTTTGTTCTGAATTTTGACCCGTGTCAACTAATGAACCGCCACGTAGATTTATTTTTCGCAGCCAGTTTACAACACTGATTTTTGGTGTGACCGATATTTTTGCAAAAAACACAATGCACTAAATTTTTTTTTGTCATTAAAATCATTCGACTTTGATTGTCTAATGGCAACCGGTGTCTTAAGATAGCGCTTCACTCATAAGTTCGTTAAAGTTGGTGATTTTATCGCGGGAAATGTTCTGTCTTATTTTAGGATGCAATAAACCATAAATCATGAGTCCATTTGAATGTTCTCAGTTAGTGTACCAGGAGGCAACTGTGCGATAATAGCACGGCACTTATAAATAAACACGTCTGTTTTCATATCTGACGGCTGTTCTTCAGCAAACAGTTCTCGATAAACGCGATATCTGGGTTTCTGAGGACCGAACGTTCTCCTGAGTAGATCGACAGCATTATTCCAAGTAATTAAAGTTGATTTTATACCTCGAAAATAAGTCGCTGCGAACCCATCGAAAAGCATAGATAAAGCACGTAATGCATTGTCGTCGCTAACTTGTGAATATTCTTTATATATCTCGATAGCGCTCAGAAAAGCGTTAACGTCTGCGTTTTTCGAACCGTCAAAACGCGACGCACATTTAGAAAATGTTCCGCCCTGTAAATTGGCAACTGATGGGGGGGTTTGGATATTTTTTGATGTTTCTTCTACTGTTTTCGTTATTCTTTTAATTTGATTTAAGTCTTGGTGCTCCTTTACCCTGGGGTCTTTCTCCAGTTTTTCTGTTGATTTTTTTTTGTGAATTCTGTTTTGCTTGTAGGTATGTATGCTTAACTTCTTTTTCGGGATGTTGAATTTCTTTACTCTTTCTAGTCTGCCATTTATGGATACTCTAGATCTTACCATTCTATATATAATTGCTGCTAGTCGTGAATGAGCCTAACACGTCTACATCTTGGATTATGTATTTTTGATGCCAGTATAAAGTCTATTTCGTTTTATGTCTTTCCATCTGGGCTTGCCCATGTCCATGTCTCATTTCTTGTACCATGTAGGTACCAATTTGCCAATGTAACATGAGTCGGTGTCATCTTGGCCTATTGTTGCAATTAAATCTCCCATAACTAGTGTGTACTTTGTTTTGTTCTCGTCTGCTTCATAAAGTTCCTCTACCTCGTGGTCGGTTGTTGGTGCGTATCTTTGTATGACTTTGATTGTTGTATTCTTGTTGATTTTCAATGTTAGGTATATCACGTTGTCAAATTTGCTCTTGAGTATTTGTAGATATGGCACCATTCATTTGTGTATGAGTATCAGGATTCGAACTTCTCCATTACTGCTATTGTCATCACCTTTATAAAATAGGACGTGATTTGATTCAAGTCTTAGACATTCTTCTCCTCTTCTTCTGAATTCTGCCAGTCCTATACTATGTCCCAATTCGTAGTCCTCATTTCTACCTAATTTGGCATTAGATCTGTTCATGACAATAGGTTTTGTTGTTATACCCTCGTCTATGGCTGTTGAATGCTCTTCAAAGAAGAATTTGAAGAAGAAGAATGTATCCTTTTCTATTGGAAACTAGTCCAGTGATATAGTACTTTTGAGAAAAAAAAAATTCTGAACGGTTCTTTATGTTTTTTGAGATGCTGAATCACAATTTCAACTTTGTCGCGCCATACGTGTGATGCATCATCCTTAAAATTGCACAAAATTGCGAAAATTAGGCTCATTTTGGCGTTTATTGCGGATAACATGCATATTATGCAGATACATAAATTAGGTTCTTCTTCTGATTTATATGTTATTGGGAGTGGTGAATCCTAATATCAACCCGCTCGACCCGTAAAAATGACGGAAAATTGCGAAAATTGAAAAATATTACATTTGACCAATTTTTACCATTTTTTTTCCCCTAAAAACGTATTACCATTATTCTCACCGGTTCTTCATCTTTTTTTGGATCCTGCATAAAAATTTCAACATCTCAGCCACGTAAAGACAACGGAACATGATACAAATTTATAAAAATGGCTGAAATATAGCCAACTTTGACGTATTGTTGTCCTTAGAAATGCATACTACAATCAATGTTCGTTATTTTTTACATTGCTGAATCTGAAGGTCATCTTTGCAGTCTCGTGGGAACTACGAAACATTGTAAAAATTTGATAAAAATAAAAAACTTAGCGCATTTAGAAGGAATATATTAACAAATCATAAAAAAAGGGTTATCGTACATATTAACAATTCATTTCTTCATTACTTTCGGTCCTGGATCTGAAAAAATAGAGTGAGGATTAGGATAAGATCAATGCTCGGATCAATGCAACAGTATATCGGAAAAAAATAAGGTAGCAAAAGAAGAGAAGCGGTATGGAAGGTAGTGACCGAACATACCGTCTGTTTTTGATGCTCGTCGGTTTTTAGGTCCATCATGGGAGGGTCCGGGCTGTGATTGTGCCACTACGTTGGAGGGTCCAGTTCGTAAGATGATGCCAGCAAGGGTAGGTGAACAACATGGAACGGTTTTATACCTGAATGTAGTCTCACCTTCAGTTGTAACTATATACTGGTGCTATACTGTACTGGCTGTACTGGTGCTAATTGACCTTTTCAATTTAGAAGCCTCTCTCTCTGGCGTCAGACTGTCAGACGCCAAAAGAGTATGAAAACAATGATTGACAGCTATTGACAGTGGTTTGTTGACAAGAGTTTTATACGTGTGAGACTGGAAACTATTATTTCCTCGGTTTTTTCAAGGTTTTTTCCTAACAATGGTGATTGTGTGTAGTGTGCCTTTTCGTGAAAATAATTCCTATTCACCGGCGGACGTGTCTTTCCATAAGTTTTCATGTCAAAATTTGGATACACAAAATCAGAACTGATACTCGCAAAAGTAAGGGAAATCCACGACCCATCAAGTATACAAAGATATCCACGTTCAAGTTTATTTTGCGGAAGCTGTTTGCTTCCCACATTTTCTTTCCAATTTCAAATTTCACCATTCTATGTCGGTCATTGTCATTTTCCATTCACTGAACAAAGATACCTAACTCATCGGTGGAGTCACCGATTAGAATAAAAACCAGGGGATTGCTAAACACCCTATACACTTGACATTGACGAGCAAGCAAATGTTGGCGGGAATCTGAATGTTTTCATACTTTATCGTCCATCTCTTTAAATTGAAAACGTCAATTGACAATCGGTGTCTTCGTCGTCGAGCTCGTCAAAATCTCTGTGTTGGCGCATTTGCCCGCACACTCAGCGTAGTTGTTCGTGCAGAATAGTCCTGCTCGCCTGCAGCCACAGTTTTTCATGCAATAATGTTTGCAATGGCAATCAATTTTTCTTAACGCTTCATCAGGTGCTGGTAGCAGGAGTGTTGTGACTAGGGTCAGGCCGTTTCTCGAGGATTTTCATCCCCACTGCTTAGCATCAAGTTGATCATTCCCCAGCCGTAGCTGCGAATTGAAGCGAGGTTGGAGGTTCTTTTGTAAGTAGACATTAGGTACTGTTGTACTTTAGCTTCTTCAAGGTGGTATCATCGGTGGTGATCGCCACCATACAGAGTTACCAGAAACTTTTTCCCTGCATCAAATAGTGACTCTTACATGTATGTTATCCGCAATAAACGCCAAAAAGGACCTAATTTTCGCAATTTTGTCAAATTTCAAGGATGATGCATCACCCGTACGCCGCGGCAAAGTTGAAAATCGGATTCAGCAGCCTTAAAAACACGAAGAATCATTGAGGAACGTAACTCCGGATTTTTTTCTCGTAAAACCCTTTTTTTGATACCATTTTATTGCACCAAATGTCGTTATCCTAAACACTATGCCTCATATCCCGTTTTCCGAGCCTCTATAGAGTAAAGTTAGTTTCCTGATCAATGCAGTTTTCTCTTTTTTGTTTCACTCCAGAAAATTTCAGTCTTATACGCCAACTGATTTTCTCAAATTCTTCTTTAAGTTCTGAGATTTGGGTTTTCCAATTTGTACTTACCTAGTGATAGTTTGCTTGAACAGACTACATCAAATCAGTTTCACATTACCAGGGTGCTAATCTTTTCTTAGGCCATAATCTTATGAAGTATACAAAAAACTCGAACCGACAGCTAGGAAAAAATATGGTCATGATAAATATGAAGTGTGTTTCGGTTTCTCGGAACTTGGAACCCTCTAAGAAGCATCTGTGATTCAATGAATAATTATTGCTCAGTTTAGTCAAGGCTTCATTGAATCCAGCGATGATGTTGAGTTAATCGTATTCAGGGTAGAACTGATTCTTTGTCTCCTCTTGATTTAGGTACTTCTCCTATGCTAATCGTTCTCATCAGATTAGAATTTGGATGAGCGTTAGCCCCCTGGGTATTTTCTGCCTTTCTTCGCTGGAGTAGTCTTGTAATTTCCAGTGCAAATCTCGTTTCATGTTAACATTCTGTGCGTATCAAGGTGGATTTACGGCCAATCACAATTTTACAGGTTCGATTCGCTTCCGATAGGATTTGGCTGGGTTGACAATGGCTTTTATCAGTATCGTTACCTTGCTATTTAAGTTCATTGTGCTCTTCGGGTTCATCAGCACATAGAGGCCATAGCTGTCTTTGCTTTGTTTGAAGCTATTTCAATTTTCCAACGGGCTTGTTGTTCTCTATTTTCAGTAAGCACTGAGGATGGCCGGATCATGGCCGGGAGGCCGAAAGCGCTCTGCTAAGATATTAAATATATTTGCTCGAAGTTGTTTGATTTTCCTTATTTTAATCAGCGTCCACTAGTCATTAGCTTCTCATCCATTATAAGACCCAAGTAGGTACTTAGTTTTCCTAGGCCATGATTTAACTGTTTCGAAAATATCCATTTCTTACTAGAGCTTCTCTCTGATCCATTCTGAATGTCGGGAGTGTAGGGATTGAAGCTACAAATGTGGCGCAAATGCCCTTGTGGAATATCAACTTTCCTCTTATTCTTGAACGGTATCAATCTTCACGGTGAAAAATCTGTCTGTCAGGTAATTCTTAACCAGTTTGCAAGTTTTTGGTTGAATACGCCTTGAATTATCCTGTGAATCAGACTAGACTTAATTGAAAGCTCGTCATATTCGAGCTCAATCTATTGATAACTTGTTGGACTATTCTAAGCGCCTGAGAGTCCGGCAAATGTCCTACACTGCATGCGAATCGCTCTCCCAAAATCAACTCCAAGTTTTCATGTATAAATTTGAGGTTAAAGATTTGAGGTTAAAGATATTCAATACTTCGCTTTAGCGCGTACTACTCTTGCTGCTCGCTGAATTTTATGACAATAGTTTTTGTCTGGATGTTCAATGAACTGGCATAAGTTCTCCAATAGGTACCTATACTTGAACGAGGAAGGAATCCTTGCGCTGTTTTGATTTAGCGCAATCCTTTTTTTTTCAATCTTCGAGATCCGCATTCTCTAAGGATTCTCGTGTTTCCAGTGACCACGACTGGGGGATTCGTTATATGCTCGTTTTCTTGTTGGTTGATGACAGGAGCATTCTTGAAAATCGAAGTTCTATGAACTTGGGTGATTAGGGCGCTTGCGTAAATTGATAAACTTTTGTATATTTCGATTTAATTATGCAGAGAAATCGTATAAAGATATCGAAGAGAAATTAAATTAAAATTAAAGAATCGGAGATTCTGCTTTGACTGCTTTGAGTGGGGCAAGTTCAAACGCAGATACGGAATATAAGTATACGCCACTTTGTCCGATGCAGTGATGCTCGATTCTTCTAGGGTTCAGAAAATAGTTACACCTACCTTTTTTTTAGACTGTTAAGCTGACCAATTTCCAGACTAACGATGCTACACATAGTTGGACTTTAAACTTCACAAATTGCTGCTCCGTAATTGAATTTTTAAGCTTTGAATCGGTACA